GTGTCTTATTACACATTTTATTTTTTTAGAGTTAAGTGGTTTACTGGTTTTTATTTGTGATGTTCGATTGTCGCTTCGTCTATCTGCTGATCCAGATTATAAATGGAAGGATTAAAATAGTTTACCCACGTTAGTTTTCGAGATATAAGCCTTTGAAAAATTGGCGAAAATTATTTTCTCTTGATTTTTCATACATTTAACATTGGCACCTTTTTTCTTTCAAAAACTACCAAAAATAACCTGGATTTTATCAGATTTTCAAATATTGCTTTTAAAACTATATGTAATAAAATTATAAAAAAGAAAAGCAGCGGTTAGCGGGAAAAATATTTATTGGCATTACATTGATAAAATCACAGGATTTCCGTATATCTGACAAAAGTTCAAAAACAATAGTAGCGACCATCCATAAGTCAGGAACCTCAGCAGTAGTTGACGTATCTTAATATTTCCGTTATTTGGATATTTTTGTTTCAATGGCAGATCATCTTTGATTGTCTCTGTTGAATAAGAAGTTATTATATACCGACCAAACATCTTTCAGATGTTTATAAGACGTTATTTTGTCAGACATCGATATTTATATTTTGCAATTTGGTCTTACATATTTCCATCATCGACAGGTACAATGGAAAACATAACTGAAGACTCCAGAAAAACAGTCAAGCTTGCCACCGAAATTAAGAATATGCTGAACGGTTTGTATATATCTTATTGATTACATTTCGCATTAAACATTATAAGTTTATGCAAAACGTATGTTTTCTTGTTTAATTCAAAAGTTTTAAATCTAAACTACATTTGCGTATTACTAAATTGTCTTACCACTACCCCGCCACAATTTTATACCGAATGTAGCAGTTATACTACAGTTTTTTTTTCAAAGAAAAACAGGGGTCTTGGCGAGTATACAACAATATTTTATAAAACACATAAATAACTGTGCTGGTATATGAATCATATACAAAAAGAATGTGTCCATAGTACACGGATGCCCTACTCGCACTATCATTTTCTATGTTCAGTGGACCGTGAATTGGGGTCAAAATTCTAATTGGGCAATAACATTAGAAATATCATATCATAGGGAACATGTGTACTAGGTTTCAACTTCATCAAAAACTACCTTGACCAAAAACTTTAACCTGAAGCAGGACAGACGGATGGACGGATGGACGGACGGACGAACGAACGGACGAACGGACGAACGGACGAACGAACGGACGGACGAACGAACAGACAAACAGACCGAAAAACAGAATGCCCCTAGTTTGGGCATAACAATTGTGCTGATTTGTAACATAGAAGTAACAGTAACTTTAATCAAGGTGACAGTAGTTTACCGATGTTCAAATCTAGCAAAATTGATCAGGAAGAGACAATCAAGGTAACAAACAGAAACTGAGGGAATCGCTTGAACTCCAACAGAGTCAGCGTCTCCCTCTATGCATGCATCATCCGCAATGCGAATTTACACTCAGTAAAATATTACATTCGGAAATACACAACAATCGGTAAAAGACTAGGTTCACGAAGGGCCCATATTGGCCCTAAAATTCTGTAAAATTCAATCTTAGTAATACAAATAATAATTTGATGACAAGATATCGAAAAATATCTGACAAATACAAAACAATCAGCTATGAAGCATTAGAATAATTGTGATGTCATTATGATAGCACAAGTGTGCACCTTAATGAAGAAAATCGTAATTTTGACAGATTTTTGCCTAAATTTTAATACTTTTTGTATGAAACAAATTTTGCTACATGCAAGGACCACCATGATTTTTTTTTTAGGGTGTGTATATGACCTATATACATATTTTTATAATGATTTTTTATTGTGATCAAAGGGTGCTACCAATGTTTTTTTTGCTGATGGAAATATACCTTACAAATGCGTATAAATATGTAAATTGGCCAAAAAATAGTAAAATATCATACTTTTGAAGCTGTCAACATTGTTAAAACAAGCAGCAATCAACAAAAGTGTCCAGTTTATTCATATTTGCATATTAAGGATCCCAAATATAGGTTTTCACATGTAGTATTACAAAGATTGATTTTTAGGGCCAATCTCAGGCCTTCGTGGCCATGTTCATTTTCACATGAATGCTATAAAAACATGATAACACTGGCTTTTCTGGCACTATAGATTTAATGAGATATCTTATGTTATTTACATTACATATATCTCTTAACCATTATCTTCAATTGTAAAATTTCGAAGAAGAGGTTGGTTTCAACTGCTGCAGCACTGTACTAAAAAGAAGGCGTTTTACAAATATGCTTTAAAATTTTAAATGTATTTTTTAACCTTTAGTCCCTTTTCAAAACTTTGAAAACTGCAATACCAGAGTACAAGAAATAGATAACAAAATCGCTAGCATAAGATTTTCAAGAGAAATGAGAAATGTTTTAAAAACATTGTTTAATAATAAGATATTGTTTGTAACTTTTATTGTTCATTTTTGTTAACTATAACTCCGTTATTTAAGAGATAAGTAATTTTCCTTTTTTGTATGTGTTTTTTTTTATTATTAACGTTTTGTTAAACAATTGGTCGAGATTAAAATTTGGATGGTCTTTTATCTAGTTATCTTAGAGCATCAAACTAGGATTAAAAATAAAATACAACATAGTCAACTACAAATGTTATAATCGCAACTTCTTTTCCCCACAGGTACGATGGAAAACCTTACTGAAGACTCCATCAAAGCAGTCAAGCTTGCCACTGGAATTAAGGACATGCTAAACGGTTTGTGTAATTCCTTTCCATTTAATCATATAACTAATTACTACTTGATGTTTTTTAGGTTTGGCAAAACGTCTGTTCTCCTGTACACTTAATTTTTATTTAAATCTAATCATTTATTTCTTTGTAAATTATGCGTGTTGTCTGCTTTGTTATAATTATTCATCTCCTTATTTTGAAAGTGTCTTATTCCCCCTCAAATCCCCATTAAAACTGATTGCTACAGCCTAAATTATCATTTTTTCTGATGGGGATCTTGATGGGTACACTACTTCATACGAAATGCAAACCAGTTTTTAGCAATATTTACTTAGCAGATTCACACATATGACAGTACATGGCATAGGGGTTGAACATAGGTAAAAGAACATAACGCACAGATTAAGGCGAAAGTAGTTTACCAATGTTCAAATCTTGTAAATCGATGAGAAAAATCAATGCAACAAACTTAAAATAAATTAATCTCATGAACTTCAAAAAGAGTAATCACCCCGGGTATGCATGCATCATCTGCCATGCAAACCCACACAAATTCAGAATATCACAAAATGGTCAGTTTTACTGTGCGTTTTGATTTGTGTTTGTTTAATCTACATTGGCTAGATGTATAGGGGGAGGGTTGAGATCTTACAAAACATGTTTAACCCCGTCGCATTTTTGCGCCTGTCCCAAGTCAGGAACCTTTGGCCTTTGTTAGTTTTGTATATTTTTTTAACTTTTGGTTCATTTATACATATGTTCCGGGTGCGAGATTTTCTCGTTGTGTTGAAGATCCATTGGTGGCCTTGAGCTGTTTTCTGTTCTGTGGTCGGGTTGTTGTCTCTTTGACACATTCCCCGTTTCCATTCTCAATTTTAAGGTTACAGATCAGACTACTACACTGGTATCAGAAGATCTATGAGCAACATACTTCAATTTTGTGTCCTACAAATGCTTAAAAAGAATCAATACATATTTATATCCAGCTCAATATTGATTAACAAAGCATATGACTACCTCCGTAAAATTAGGAACAAGCGGTCAGTTTCGTGATTGGAAAACTATACTAGAAAGGTCTAATTTGCTTTAAAAATTTAAATGTGGAAAGGAACACCTTAGAATATTCTAAACGGTTCCTTTATTTCTTTTTTTATTAAAACAATGTTATTAATAAAATATTAGTTTATGTAAAAAGTCTGTTTTCCTGTATATTACGTAAGTTTTAAATCTTAATCTTTTGGGTTTTTTGTTGATAATAGGTATGTGTTTGTATAGCGATGGCCAAAATAGCTGTGAGAAGATGGAAAAAGAGACGCAGAAGGTCACTTCAGGTATTAAATACATAAACTTATCAACACTGAGAGTAGTGCACACAGTAAAAGATATATTCATATGAAATATGTATATTTACATTAAAATGTTTAAATGAAATCCGAATTCCTTAAAGTATATTTAGTTTTATTAGTTCTTTTGGTGTATTATTTTATACTAAAAAAACTACAACAAATCTATTTTTCTGTTCCTTTTTTTTTTCTTGTTTTGTTAGTATTGATTCGAAGGTAAACATTGTCACCTAGAAATTAAATGCTCGCAGACTAAAAAAAATACAGTTATTAATTATCTCTTACTTAACGGATAACAAATCTTCATTCTAATTTATGCATTTTAAAATATTGAACATATGGGTAAATAGCAATTTATATTTCGATTCAGTCAGTTTATTTTTTTGTTTTACTCTTATAGTACATGTTTATTTAATTATTTAGAAATGGATTCGATCAAAGAAAAACTTGACAAAATACTGGGTATTGTTAGTGATATAAAATGTAAGTAGAAAATTTGGCATTTTGTAAAAAGGAGAACTTTTCATCATAAAAAGGACGCGTACGATCCAAAAAGTAGCTTCAGCTATTCATAAAATGATATGTTGTTGAAATAAAGACTGTAATCACCAAATTCAAATTAATCTATCACTGTGGAAATACCAATGAATTATTGTAAATCCTGAATCAAAAAAATAAAATATCGCCTGTTTTGAAAAATGTGTGAATTTCTTCAAGTAAATCCATTTCCACGAAAAAGGTAATCGAAATTCTGACAAAAATGTTGCACATAAAGAATTCTGTTAGAAAGAGTTCAAAGGTATAAAATTAATTCTAAATGTCTATATGTTTTATCAAGACAATAGCCATGGAATTTTGCAAAAAGAATGTAAAGATATCACAAACAGAGTCCCTGTATTAGAAACAGTTTACCCTTGATGGTTACAGAAATGTGTCTGTGCAATGTGAGGAAGGAGGATGGACTGTAAGTATATTAGAATGGCTTGTAGGTGTAAAAGAAAAATCGTTTGAAACCATGTTGCTACTTTTTCCTTTTTCTATTCATTGTTGTCATTATTGCTTTATTTCATTATTGATATTAGTAGTTTAAGTAGTAGTAATGGTGGTAATAGAGATTCACAATAACTGTATGACACCGACCGGACTCCGAATACAAACAAGAATAAAACTGGAAAAATACGGGGCTATCTCAAAATTCTAAAGCATTATAGGCTTCTATACATAAATGCCTCCTAGGTGTTCCCATGACTTTTTTTTTGTAGTATTTAAGATCACTAAATACATGTTCAACGGAAACTAGATATTTTGTTATAAGTCTTTGAGTTTTATGTTTTACTAACTGAAGTATAACTTTATGCTCCTCCGACGATAGTAGAGGGGCATTAGGTTTTTCGGTCTGTGTGTCCGTTCGTTCGTTCGTCCGTCCGTTCATCCGTCCGTCCGTCCGTCTGTCCCGCTTCAGGTTAAAGTTTTTGGTCAAGGAAGTTTTTGATGAAGTTGAAGTCCAATCAACTTGAAACTTAGTACACATGTTTCCTATGATATGATCTTTGTAATTTTAATGCCAAATTAAAGTTTTTACCCCAATTTCACGGTCCACTGAACATAGAAAATGATAGTTCGAGTGGGACATCCGTGTACTATGGACACATTCTTGGGTTGTTTTTTTTTATCTCAAGCGTATTTCGACCACTACCCCCTATCACAAACACACTCATGTGGCCTGTTAATTGTCAATCTCATTAACTTGTTGGATTATCGTTATTTTATTTTTTTTATTCCACTTGCAGTTCTAAAATCCAACCTGTCTTCCCTGGAGGACCAAGTTTGTCACATAGCTTTGTTAGGTTTATTAAGAATAGTATTTTTAAATCTATATTCAACTAGTTGAAAGTTAGCTTTATAGCATGATTATTTGAACTGCCTCTATGTAGTTAATGATTTAAATGCACGATTTTTTGGATATTCCTATTTCCTAATTTAGGAGAACAACTGATGTCGACAATAAACTATAAGCCTGTAGAAATATCAGTAAGGGCAGATGATTTGTTCATTGGATGTCTCCATAGTGTCCCGAATACTTTTTAGCGCTTCAATTCGCAAATTCGTTTGTATGGAGTCATTATATTATATAGGATATCGATTTGAATAAATTTTGTCTGCTAACAAAAAAAATGTCATCGGAAAATCCTATTCCTTACCTATTATAGTTGCATTAGCAAAACATGTTAGGTCTGGTTCTGGTGTCCTAGGAAACCATATTGATTATAGCATGTATCACATAAAGGGATGACAACAATTAAAATAAAGACGAGAAACGAGACGAAGTCGTCTCTAATCTTTCCAATGACGAGAGTGAAGATGACGACGCAGCAGCAGACGACGACTCTGTCAATCCACATTCGCCACCGGAGGTTAACTATACTCTCTCCTAAACCAACGCTAGCACCAAAAGAGGCTGCAAACATGGATGCAGTGACATAAGTGTTGCCATCACATAGAAAACAAAAGTTGATTCGACAATAAGATTGATTGCTTGATTGATTGATGTTTGCTCAACGTCCAGTGGGAAATATTTCATGCATGTTCAGACAATAACAAATAAATACAATAAATACAATAAGTAGGTCCTGTAATAGAGACTGTCCCGGATGAATGGAGGGGGAATTTTGACTGGCACTGGAAAATGAGGTTATATGGATAGGAAAAGGAATTTTGCCTTCCAACAGGCCACCTACGGACACCTCAAAGAGTTGTTGTAATGTTTCTTAACATGTAGAGAGCGCGGCACTCTCCCTGTCACCCTTAGGTAATCAACAAGTAGAACAAAAAATAGATAGAATTCACAAATTCACCAATAAAAAAAATCAAAACCAATGAGAGCACTTGGTGTTTCTAGCTCAGATTACAAATAAAAAATTATATAAAACCAATTACAGAATTTATATGTTTTACCTCCTCATGACATTCTGCTACGGTCTCTCTATTTGTTTAGTCAGTGTATGTATCGTTGTAGGTATAAGTTTTCGTGTAGACAACTTTTCGAAATTATTTTATAGTAGTGGTAGTAGTAGTATTTATTTGTTTCATTATTTCTTTTCTTGTTGTGAAGGTGAAAATTATTTACGCTATTATACAGTATGTATTAAATATTTTGTTATCATCATTAGTATTGTTTTTCACAAGTAGATTCGGCGAACTTAAACCATGAACTTTGAATCCATTTAGATGGCCAACATTAAGACACCTCGTGTGAAACTAATGTATCACTTTTATTACTTTTGTTACCGTGTAGACCCCAAATACTCATAAAACTGTAAAGGTTATTATCTAACTGATATATAATTTTTCAACTCAAGCTAACATTAAGGTTCAGATTATTATAAAAAAAAGAGTTCAGGAAGACATTGATGCCCATATATACAGACCAATTACAGCAAAAATCTGGCCAAACTATTATCATGGGTCGCAATTGAAAAAATGTATGACTCGATTGCCAAATTAAGGAATTATTATTAGCTATCGAAATAAATGAGTGGTTAAACAAATTTGTATTGGTTGCCGACCGCCATCTCGATTGTTAATGTAATAAGTTCTGCGCTGACAAATCGATGTCATAAGTAGGAGTTATACGATCGGAAAGCATAGTGTATTTAAACACATGTGGTCATTTTTATTCTTCTAGTCTTATACTGAATATTTGTCTCTTTGGTAATCATATCACAGCCTTTTTTCATACTATATTAAACTGCACATTAAGACCGAACGTGACAGCGTAATTATATTTCCAGCACTAAAACTGAGCCTCTTTGTGAGTACAAAACTGCATGCAAAAATGCAAACTTGTATTCACCAATATTTAATAAAACACACCAATATCATGCTGAATACAGCATAGTGATTAATAAGTGACTTAAGCAGGTAGACAAAGTTAACGGAGCAAAATTCTTAAAAATTACTGGTATAATTGTATCAGTCATATATATTCTATATTCTAAGATTCTAAGTAGCATATACTTTGGTTAATTCTGTGTGTTATGAATCCTTGAAAAGTATAGATTAAATTGACTATAACTTACTCATTATAGATTTAAAGTGTGGGTTCCTGAGCCTAAGTCTACCTCCTTAACATTACAATCACGTGGTCTGTTTCATTTTTTTGTTATACTAGAATGTTAACATTTTATACTTGGTATATGAAGTATACTGAAATTCATAAGCTAATTTTCAAAAATTATTTTTAAATTCATTAGTTCTATTTCAGAAACTGTATTCAAATTCATTAGCTACATTTCAGAAATAATATTCAAAATCATTAGCTACATTGACAACAGAAACACAATCGAATTGGTTCATATGGGCAATACGGTATTTCTATTTTTATGTGTTAGGTTATTCAAAAACGGTATGATGGTAGTGTTGAATTCCACAGAAATTGGAATGATTATGAAAACGGATTTGGAAACATACATGAGGAGTTTTGGTTAGGTAAGACAAATATGATCTTAATATATCAATTTCATTTTTTTTCTGATTTAGATTAAAATGTTCGTAATACAGCGTTTTACCAGTAAATGCACATCCTTGTTTTAAAGAACTTGTAAGCCAGTCATAACATTTTAATGCAGGCTGTAAAACATAATACACAGAGTTCATCATATTCTGAAAAAATTCTGTGTATCAAACATATTGTGTTCTTTCATTCCTTTAGTTTGTGGATAATACTGACCTTTAGTTAAAATATTCGTGATAACATTTCGGTCATCAGCTTCATGGAACACACATATTTTTAATATTTATAAAAAAAGAATGCTGTCGTTTATATGTGCTTCGACAAGTTAAACATTCATTAAATAAAGGCAACAGTAGTATATCGCTGTTCAATAGTCATAAATCGATTAAGCGAAAACAAACCGGGTTACAAACTAAAACGGAGAAAAAACAGAAATTCACTTATACGTATTTACTATGCTTTTATTGGAGTATGGTGATGTTGTTTGGGGCAATTGCTCTCAGCACGAGTCCTAGCTTCTTGAAAAATATTCAAAGAGAAGCTGCTAGAATTATTACCGGACTACGTCGTAATTCCTCAAGACAAAAACTGTATATTGAATTAGGATTAGAAACTCTGGAGAATAGACGAAATAAACATTAGCTTCAACTGTTTTATAAAATATTAAATGGGATGACCCCTGCATACTTATATGAGTTAGTCCAGCCATATTTTCCCAGACAAGCCCCTTATACTTTGAGGAATGAAAATAATACATTTCATCCCCCACTTTCTAGAACTAGCTTTTACTTATATAGTTTCATATTTTCCATCATAACACTTTGGAATGGTTTTTCTCTAAGTATACAAAAAACCCCAAGTTTATGTATATTTAGGGTGGACTAGACAAATTTTATAGGACTGATGAAATATTTGAACCTTTCAACTATGGGATAAGGAAACATAATATTAGTTAGTCATTGCTGACTTAGAAACAATGCTTGCAACTTAAAAATCTCATTTGTTTGATTAATTCTTATCAGAGAACACTATTTGTTCAAACTGTAATAATCCTGTTGAGGATAACCAGCTTTTTTTTATTTGCCCTAAGAACAATGATATAAGACAGATCTTACTTGATTCCATTTATTCAATTATTGATAATGTTGACATAAATTTTGATATATTACTTTTTGTAAACAGATTATTTTCGTACGATATTAATATTAATATATTTAAATCTGTTCAGAAGTATATCAGTGACACTAACCGTATTGTTTGAAATTTATTTTTGAAATTTTGTTTTATTTAGTGTTTATGTTTCTTTTCGTTTCTTTTTGGTTTTTTTTTCAACATTGATTCATTTGATAAGCTTAGTGTCTCTTCCAAACCTTATATATATATATATATATATATACAAGTCTAAATTGAAAACAACGTTCAAATCTATGATTGCGTTGGATAAAAACCGCAATTTTTATACGTGTGCATGCAAAACAAATTTCTTGTTAGAGGGGTCTAAATACAGCACAAACAACATTTTCCAAAAGACCAAAAGAGTGAAAAAGTATATTTTAACAAAACGCATTTGACTAACAGGTCGAACAACAAATGTTCTTAAACCCTGCTGACTGCCATTGGCGATTGCCAAATAAACGGATCACCGATGTAATAAATGGATCTTAAATATAAATTTAATACTAAACAGAAAACAATAAACTTGCGGAAAAGATGTTATACCGCAAACAAAAGGTGCAAAGGTTTTTGTACACCATATCCGGATTTCGACAATTAATGTCTCTTCAGTGATGTTAGGAATCGAAACGGTATTTGGAAAGCCATACAATTTACCTCAATTTAGGATAGACTCTTGAATTTTAAGGAGTCAAAATAGGATGAACGGATCATATAAACCCGAAGGCAAATATAATACAAGCCCAAACGAAAAAATATAAACAAGTCTAAATTGAAAACAACGTTCAAACCTATGATTGCGTTGGATAAAAACCGCAATTTTTATACGTGTGCATGCAAAACAAATATCTTGTTAGAGGGGTCTAAATACAGCACAAACAACATTTTCCCAAAGACCAAAAGAGTGGAAAAGTATATTTTAACAAAACGCATTTGACTAACAGGTCGAACAACAAATGTTCTTAAACCCTGCTGACTGCCATTGGCGATTGCCAAATAAACGGATCACCGATGTAATAAATGGATCTTAAATATAAATTTAATACTAAACAGAAAACAATAAACTTGCGGAAAAGATTTTATACCGCAAACAAAAGGTGCAAAGGTTTTTGTACACCATATCCGGATTTCGACAATTAATGTCTCTTCAGTGATGTTAGGAATCGAAACGGTATTTGGAAAGCCATACAATTTACCTCAATTTAGGATAGACTCTTGAATTTTAAGGAGTCAAAATAGGATGAACGGATCATATAAACCCGAAGGCAAATATAATACAAGCCCAAACGAAAAAATATAAACAAGTCTAAATTGAAAACAACGTTCAAACCTTTGATTGCGTTGGATAAAAACCGCAATTTTTATACGTGTGCATGCAAAACAAATTTCTTGTTAGAGGGGTCTAAATACAGCACAAACAACATTTTCAAAAAGACCAAAAGAGTGGAAAAGTATATTTTAACAAAACGCATTTGACTAACAGGTCGAACAACAAATGTTCTTAAACCCTGCTGACTGCCATTGGCGATTCCCAAATAAACGGATCACCGATGTAATAAATGGATCTTAAATATAAATTTAATACTAAACAGAAAACAATAAACTTGCGGAAAAGATGTTATACCGCAAACAAAAGGTGCAAAGGTTTTTGTACACCATATCCGGATTTCGACAATTAATGTCTCTTCAGTGATGTTAGGAATCGAAACGGTATTTGGAAAGCCATACTATTTACCTCAATTGAGAATAGACTCTTGAATTTTAAGGAGTCAAAATAGAATGAACGGATCATATAAACCCGAAGGCAAATATAATACAAGCCCAAACGCAAAAATATAAACAAGTCTAAATTGAAAACAACGTTCAAACCTATGATTGCGTTGGATAAAAACTGCAATTTTTATACGTGTGCATGCAAAACAAATTTCTTGTTAGAGGGGTCTAAATACAGCACAAACAACATTTTCCAAAAGACCAAAAGAGTGAAAAAGTATATTTTAACAAAACGCATTTGACTAACAGGTCGAACAACAAATGTTCTTAAACCCTGCTGACTGCCATTGGCGATTGCCAAATAAACGGATCACCGATGTAATAAATGGATCTTAAATATAAATTTAATACTGAACAGAAAACAATAAACTTGCGGAAAAGATGTAATATCGCAAACAAAAGGTGCAAAGGTTTTTGTAAACCATATCCGGATTTTGACAATTAATGTCTCTTCAGTGATGTTAGGAATCGAAACGGTATTTGGAAAGCCATACAATTTACCCCAATTTAGGATAGACTCTTGAATTTTAAGGAGTCAAAATAGGATGAACGGATCATATAAACCCGAAGGCAAATATAATACAAGCCCAAACGAAAAAATATAAACAAGTCTAAATTGAAAACAACGTTCAAACCTATGATTGCGTTGGATAAAAACCGCAATTTTTATACGTGTGCATGCAAAACAAATTTCTTGTTAGAGGGGTCTAAATACAGCACAAACAACATTTTCCAAAAGACCAAAAGAGTGAAAAAGTATATTTTAACAAAACGCATTTGACTAACAGGTCGAACAACAAATGTTCTTAAACCCTGCTGACTGCCATTGGCGATTGCCAAATAAACGGATCACCGATGTAATAAATGGATCTTAAATATAAATTTAATACTAAACAGAAAACAATAAACTTGCGGAAAAGATGTTATACCGCAAACAAAAGGTGCAAAGGTTTTTGTACACCATATCCGGATTTCGACAATTAATGTCTCTTCAGTGATGTTAGGAATCGAAACGGTATTTGGAAAGCCATACAATTTACCTCAATTTAGGATAGACTCTTGAATTTTAAGGAGTCAAAATAGGATGAACGGATCATATAAACCCGAAGGCAAATATAATACAAGCCCAAACGAAAAAATATAAACAAGTCTAAATTGAAAACAACGTTCAAACCTATGATTGCGTTGGATAAAAACTGCAATTTTTATACGTGTGCATGCAAAACAAATTTCTTGTTAGAGGGGTCTAAATACAGCACAAACAACATTTTCCAAAAGACCAAAAGAGTGAAAAAGTATATTTTAACAAAACGCATTTGACTAACAGGTCGAACAACAAATGTTCTTAAACCCTGCTGACTGCCATTGGCGATTGCCAAATAAACGGATCACCGATGTAATAAATGGATCTTAAATATAAATTTAATACTAAACAGAAAACAATAAACTTGCGGAAAAGATGTTATACCGCAAACAAAAGGTGCAAAGGTTTTTGTACACCATATCCGGATTTCGACAATTAATGTCTCTTCAGTGATGTTAGGAATCGAAACGGTATTTGGAAAGCCATACAATTTACCTCAATTTAGGATAGACTCTTGAATTTTAAGGAGTCAAAATAGGATGAACGGATCATATAAACCCGAAGGCAAATATAATACAAGCCCAAACGAAAAAATATATACAAGTCTAAATTGAAAACAACGTTCAAACCTATGATTGCGTTGATTAAAAACCGCAATTTTTATACGTGTGCATGCAAAACAAATTTCTTGTTAGAGGGGTCTAAATACAGCACAAACAACATTTTCAAAAAGACCAAAAGAGTGAAAAAGTATATTTTAACAAAACGCATTTGACTAACAGGTCGAACAACAAATGTTCTTAAACCCTGCTGACTGCCATTGGCGATTGCCAAATAAACGGATCACCGATGTAATAAATGGATCTTAAATATAAATTTAATACTAAACAGAAAACAATAAACTTGCGGAAAAGATGTAATATCGCAAACAAAAGGTGCAAAGGTTTTTGTAAACCATATCCGGATTTTGACAATTAATGTCTCTTCAGTGATGTTAGGAATCGAAACGGTATTTGGAAAGCCATACAATTTACCTCAATTTAGGATAGACTCTTGAATTTTAAGGAGTCAAAATAGGATGAACGGATCATATAAACCCGAAGGCAAATATAATACAAGCCCAAACGAAAAAATATATACAAGTCTAAATTGAAAACAACGTTCAAACCTATGATTGAGTTGGATAAAAACCGCAATTTTTATACGTGTGCATGCAAAACAAATTTCTTGTTAGAGGGGTCTAAATACAGCACAAACAACATTTTCCAAAAGACCAAAGGAGTGAAAAAGTATATTTTAACAAAACGCATTTGACTAACAGGTCGAACAACAAATGTTCTTAAACCCTGCTGACTGCCATTGGCGATTGCCAAATAAACGGATCACCGATGTAATAAATGGATCTTAAATATATATTTAATACTAAACAGAAAACAATAAACTTGCGGAAAAGATGTAATATCGCAAACAAAAGGTGCAAAGGTTTTTGTAAACCATATCCGGATTTTGACAATTAATGTCTCTTCAGTGATGTTAGGAATCGAAACGGTATTTGGAAAGCCATACAATTTACCTCAATTTAGGATAGACTCTTGAATTTTAAGGAGTCAAAATAGGATGAACGGATCATATAAACCCGAAGGCAAATATAATACAAGCCCAAACGAAAAAATATAAACAAGTCTAAATTGAAAACAACGTTCAAACCTATGATTGCATTGGATAAAAACCGCAATTTTTATACGTGTGCATGCAAAACAAATTTCTTGTTAGAGGGGTCTAAATACAGCACAAACAACATTTTCCAAAAGACCAAAAGAGTGGAAAAGTATATTTTAACAAAACGCATTTGACTAACAGGTCGAACAACAAATGTTCTTAAACCCTGCTGACTGCCATTGGCGATTGCCAAATAAACGGATCACCGATGTAATAAATGGATCTTAAATATAAATTTAATACTAAACAGAAAACAATAAACTTGCGGAAAAGATGTTATACCGCAAACAAAAGGTGCAAAGGATTTTGTACACCATATCCGGATTTCGACAATTAATGTCTCTTCAGTGATGTTAGGAATCGAAACGGTATTTGGAAAGCCATACAATTTACCTCAATTTAGGATGGACTCTTGAATTTTAAGGAGTCAAAATAGGATGAACGGATCATATAAACCCGAAGGCAAATATAATACAAGCCCAAACGAAAAAATATAAACAAGTCTAAATTGAAAACAACGTTCAAACCTATGATTGCGTTGGATAAAAACCGCAATTTTTATACGTGTGCATGCAAAACAAATTTCTTGTTAGAGGGGTCTAAATACAGCAAAAACAACATTTTCCAAAAGACCAAAAGAGTGAAAAAGTATATTTTAACAAAACGCATTTGACTAACAGGTAGAACAACAAATGTTCTTAAACCCTGCTGACTGCCATTGGCGATTGCCAAATAAACGGATCACCGATGTAATAAATGGATCTTAAATATAAATTTAATACTAAACAGAAAACAATAAACTTGCGGAAAAGATGTTATACCGCAAACAAAAGGTGCAAAGGTTTTTGTACACCATATCCGGATTTCGACAATTAATGTCTCTTCAGTGATGTTAGGAATCGAAACGGTATTTGGAAAGCCATACAATTTACCTCAATTTAGGATAGGCTCTTGAATTTTAAAGAGTCAAAATAGGATGAACGGATCATATAAACCCGAAGGCAAATATAATACAAGCCCAAACGAAAAAATATAAACAAGTCTAAATTGAAAACAACGTTCAAACCTATGATTGCGTTGGATAAAAACCGCAATTTTTATACGTGTGCATGCAAAACATATTTCTTGTTAGAGGGGTCTAAATACAGCACAAACAACATTTTCCAAAAGACCAAAAGAGTGAAAAAGTATATTTTAACAAAACGCATTTGACTAACAGGTCGAACAACAAATGTTCTTAAACCCTGCTGACTGCCATTGGCGATTGCCAAATAAACGGATCACCGAGGTAATAAATGGATCTTAAATATAAATTTAATACTAAACAGAAAACAATAAACTTGCGGAAAAGATGTTATACCGCAAACAAAAGGTGCAAAGGTTTTTGTACACCATATCCGGATTTCGACAATTAATGTCTCTTCAGTGATGTTAGGAATCGAAACGGTATTTGGAAAGCCATACAATTTACCTCAATTTAGGATAGACTCTTGAATTTTAAGGAGTCAAAATAGGATGAACGGATCATATAAACCCGAAGGCAAATATAATACAAGCCCAAACGAAAAAATATAAACAAGTCTAAATTGAAAACAACGTTCAAACCTATGATTGCGTTGGATAAAAACCGCAATTTTTATACGTGTGCATGCAAAACAAATTTCTTGTTAGAGGGGTCTAAATACAGCACAAACAACATTTTCCAAAAGACCAAAGGAGTGAAAAAGTATATTTTAACAAAACGCATTTGACTAACAGGTCGAACAACAAATGTTCTTAAACCCTGCTGACTGCCATTGGCGATTGCCAAATAAACGGATCACCGATGTAATAAATGGATCTTAAATATAAATTTAATACTAAACAGAAAACAATAAACTTGCGGAAAAGATGTTATACCGCAAACGAAAGGTGCAAAGGTTTTTGTACACCATATCCGGATTTCGACAATTAATGTCTCTTCAGTGATGTTAGGAATCGAAACGGTATTTGGAAAGCCATACTATTTACCTCAATTTAGGATAGACTCTTGAATTTTAAGGAGTCAAAACAGGATGAACGGATCATATAAACCCGAAGGCAAATATAATACAAGCCCAAACGAAAAAATATAAACAAGTCTAAATTGAAAACAACGTTCAAACCTATGATTGCGTTGGATAAAAACCGCAATTTTTATACGTGTGCATGCAAAACAAATTTCTTGTTAGAGGGGTCTAAATACAGCACAAACAACATTTTCCAAAAGACCAAAGGAGTGAAAAAGTATATTTTAACAAAACGCATTTGACTAACAGGTCGAACAACAAATGTTCTTAAACCCTGCTGACTGCCTTTGGCGATTGCCAAATAAACAGATCACCGATGTAATAAATGGATCTTAAATATATATTTAATACTAAACAGAAAACAATAAACTTGCGGAAAAGATGTTATACCGCAAACAAAAGGTGCAAAGGTTTTTGTAAACCATATCCGGATTTTGACAATTAATATCTCTTCAGTGATGTTAGGAATCGAAACGGTATTTGGAAAGCCATACAATTTACCTCAATTTAGGATAGACTCTTGAATTTTAAGGAGTCAAAATAGGATGAACGGATCATATAAACCCGAAGGCAAATATAATACAAGCCCAAACGAAAAAATATAAACAAGTCTAAATTGAAAACAACGTTCAAACCTATGATTGCGTTGGATAAAAACCGTAATTTTTATACGTGTGCATGCAAAACAAATTTCTTGTTAGAGGGGTCTAAATACAGCACAAACAACATTTTCCAAAAGACCAAAAGAGTGAAAAAGTATATTTTAACAAAACGCATTTGACTAACAGGTCGAACAACAAATGTTCTTAAACCCTGCTGACTGCCATTGGCGATTGCCAAATAAACGGATCACCGATGTAATAAATGGATCTTAAATATAAATTTAATACTAAACAGAAAACAATAAACTTGCGGAAAAGATGTTATACCGCAAACAAAAGGTGCAAAGGTTTTTGTACACCATATCCGGATTTCGACAATTAATGTCTCTTCAGTGATGTTAGGAATCGAAACGGTATTTGGAAAGCCATACAATTTACCTCAATTTAGGATAGACTCTTGAATTTTAAGGAGTCAAAATAGGATGAACGGATCATATAAACCCGAAGGCAAATATAATACAAGCCCAAACGAAAAAATATAAACAAGTCTAAATTGAAAACAACGTTCAAACCTATGATTGCGTTGGATAAAAACCGCAATTTTTATACGTGTGCATGCAAAACAAATTTCTTGTTAGAGGGGTCTAAATACAGCACAAACAACATTTTCCAAAAGACCAAAAGAGTGAAAAAGTATATTTTAACAAAACGCATTTGACTAACAGGATATATATATATATCTCATGACTTATAAAGGATATTTACATGTCTCAAGGTACTTGAATAAAAGATGATTAATTGCCTACATACTTAAATATACTATACATTTAGTAATTAACACATTAAATATATATTTGCTTGTGTGTCCTCATCAGTAGGATGCATTTTCCACTATATTAAACTACTTTAAATACAGTTGATAATATTTGATTTATACCTTGTACATGTAACTTGGAGAGAGCTTTTGTAGGCTGTGCCTGTTGCTCAATCCTTTTCATATCTTAATGAATAAAATATGTTTAAAAGCCAAAAATATTTGTGATGTGTTTGATTGTCTTCATCAATATACACACATACATTTAGGCAACAAGAATATAGCGCAACTGACATCAGAGGGAAATCATGAACTTAGGATCGATGTGGAGGACTGGGATGGAAACAAGCGTTATGCAGTTTATAGAAGCTTCTCAATAGGCGACGCATCTACAAAATACCGATTAAGTATCAGTGATTTCTCAGGAAACGCAGGTAAATATTATAAAATAGTTTGGGGCGGAAAAGAGGTAGTGCCATTGTCTTCTTCGTCCATGAAAAAGATGCATATGTTGACATTTCAATCTTTTCGTTCGGTCAATGTTGATAGAACGTTAATTTACATGAACGATGGTTTGCTAACTTGGTCCCAGGGTTAGATAAAGAAACTTATTTTCACAGTTTATGGCCAAACTCAGAAAAGAAACATCTAAATTCCATTTTATCGGTAAATTTAATGACAGTTAACATTACAAGGGTAACTTCCTGCAACATGATTAGAGAATTCTTGATTATTGAAAGCAAAAATATAATCATGTAATGGTAAATGTCATTTAATTTACCGTTCAAATGGAATTTAAGAAGTGAACATGTATCTTTCCTGAGCTTGGCCATTAACTACCTGTATGATTCATAACAAAACAGGAACAAATCTGCTATTAAAGGGGCACAGTTGGTGCCCATAAGAACAGCTATTACATGGAAACGTACATGTATGTTGTTAACGACAAACTTTACTGTCTAAATCACCTCATCACAATTCCAGTTAGTATCTATATAGAATAAGTTAACAGCGTAAACAGATGAATTGTAGAACACTTGCTGGAAACCGTAACAAACGGCTTTTTGTGTCGGTTAGGTAGCCAATTCATAGTAGGGACTTCAAACGTTTAGAAGCTAAGCTAAGTTGTATTCGTGACATGCTTGTTTGCTATATGACTCTCTGAAGAGTGCACGGCCTTGAATACTTCATATTAACCTTCTTAAGAAATTCCAGGTAGTATTTATGTCATACAACTACCACGTTGTTGGCTACTTTGTCGGCCAAGACAAACACAAAACGTTTTGTGAGTTCATGCGTTTGTTTAATCATAGAAATGGGCGTATTACTAAACTTTTTATTAATTTCTTAATTATTTTCGAAATAATATCTACAATATTCAGACATTTATTCAAATAAGAATCAAGTGACTGTTTGTCAGACCTCTACCGCTTACACAAGTCTTAGAAATAGACGAAAGAGCATCTTTAATGATCTGATGACACTTTTTTTCCAATTAATCTTCGATGGAGGATAATATTTTTGGTCCCTTTATAGAAAGTGTATAACCTCTCGATGTTGAACGATGTTTGAGTTACTTGTAACTACATCTCCATATAGGGATCTTATTTTAACTTCGATGTTTCACAGGCTCATTTTGAAGGAGGAGGATTTTCTATACAGACGTCTGATGTATCTGACGTATAATTAGAAATTAAACTTCGATGTTCTTTATTATAAAGTATTCTTAGCTCTACGTTATCAAAATGTGGAGGTATAAAGCTTTCAACAGTAGAGTCATTTAAATACTAGATAAGTTTTTAAAATCTATATCAAAATAAAACGACATTGTTTCACACTCATTATGAATATTATGTAATTAACTAATTGTATTATGATATAGTTTGCATAATAATTGATGTCTACCATTGTTTTATAATATTTATAAGAGATCAACAAAAGTTAAATTAGTACGATGTTTAAATCGTTTAAAGCGATTGAAACGTTTGTAATGATTATGGCGTCATATATCTAGAATAGTCATGATATCAATAAAGGAAATTTTAGATTTAATTCCTTGTCCCATGATATTGTAATTTAGACCGAGGGATATGATGTTTTTCGTCGTTTAATCCAAGATAGTTTGCAAAATTTTGGGGAATCTTTAAATTGTTTATGTGATTGTCCTGGTTGTTTCAAGATGGTTTCGAGTGGTCGGAATTTTAGAAATTTGATTGTGTTTTGTTTCCTCAATGCTGCTTAATCAAATTTTTTAATGTATAAGTCAGCGAACACGGTATAAATATTTTTGTTTTCGTTTGAAAAAATCACGTCCTGTTTTACCTACATATTGAATACCATATTTGTGTTAAGTTCGTGTTATATAATAATCAAAGCGACAGCGCTGCAAAGGCAATTGCCGCCATTTAATTTTGTGTGACTACTAGTTAACATCCTCATGTAAAAGAATTACAACCGACAGGAGACTACATTTAGCATATTCAGAAGAAAAGAAACTATCCACAATTGATTTACACAACTTGAGAATCATAGGGAGAAGTGAATTCTCTTTTTGAAACTGATAAAGAGAAGTGGTGAAACTTTATAGAGAAGTGCTTGTTCGCTCGGTGATATAATGTTTGGTTTTATCTTGCCTTTGTATCCTATTTTTTTTGTACTGCTCAAATCCAATGTTAAGTAATGTCTAACAGTTACACAATTTCATTATTCCATATGTCAGGAACTACTCAGCTTGTGCTATTATTCCCTTTATTTAATACACAAAGAGGGTCTAGTTTTATAAATAATTGAATCATTACTTAAATTCATAGTTAAATATTAAAATATATGCTTGAATACGGCACAAATAAATGTTGGAAAGAAGGACTTTTTATATGACGAGAGCCATTACTTTGACTCAATAAGTTAATTGCTTCTGTCTTTTCAAAATCATGTTAATTTGAATCATAAATTAGAACGATAATCTAATCTGGCCATTTTATTGCTGAACTTCTAGCACTATGACGTCATAAACATATAAAGCTTAACACATGTTGTGTCCCTGAAATATTTGACAACAACTATTTCTTAATAAGAAAACATCTGCATCCTTAGTGGATGGTTAATTAGTGACTTCTAATCATTACATCTTTGTAAAGGTGTTCTCTTGACGATAACAAAAATATAACATTTGTTTAATCTGGATTGACTTTGTAAGCATTTATATTCAAAAGGTGTTTTTTTTAATTATTGATTAGATTATTGTTAAATTTCCTTAATTAGTGCATGTACTAAATAGGTATTTATTATGCTTTATAATTCCTGCGTATATAATATTGTACATAGTTCATGAAAGTGCATTTTTAACAAAGCACGCCATTCTATCTCAATATTTATATAGTACTGCTTCCCTTATGTATCCGAGGTTACGTCAATATTAACATAGAATAATTTTATCTTTTAATGGTCATAGGAAACATGAGTACTTCCAGTAGAATGTTTTAAATGAGTGGCGAAAGATATGAAAGGGACATTCAAGCTTATAAGTAGAAAATAAACTGACAACGCCATGGCTTAAAAAAGAAAAAGACAAACAGACAAACAGACAAACAAAAACACACAAAACACAACATAGAAAACTAAAGACTGAGAAACACGAACTCCACCAAAAATTGGGGGTGATCTCAGGTGCTCCGGAAGGGTAAACAGATCCTGCTCCACATGTGGCACCCGTGTGGATTTATATTTAAATAATGCAGGAGTGTTGCAATTATCTAAAATGCATAATTAATACCTTGGTAAAAAACAAGATACTGTTATGTCGTATGTTTTGTAACTTCTAAAGTGCTGATTTTCAACATAGGTTTGAGTATGCATTACACAGTATGTGAAATAATGTTTTGAACTAACAATTTTAGAAATTTTTTATTCTATGACTTAAAGTAATGATTTAGAAATGTGCACTTATAATTAATGATAAGGACTTTCTACTGAAGAAATTGGCATAAATCTCAAAGCACTTATGACAAATCTAACTTTGAATCAATGAAACCCTCTTAACAACATTCTGCACAATTAAATATATATTTTTAATTTCGGAAAGAAATATTTGATAGATTATTGAATACTTTGGCCATCAATTCTATTGTATTATCTTTTAGAAATCCAAAGGCATGTTTTAGTAAATAAATCAACCGGATACATTTTCAATACTTCTTGAAAAATAATTAGTTCGTAAACAAAGAGAATTCGTCATATGTAAATGAAATTTCTCAAATGCAGTTACAAGTTCGGAGGATATTTTTTAAGATAACTGTTAAGGTATGAAATTTTAAGTGCTTAACATTCTACTCTCAAATTGATACATTTTCACTGCTAATTATATGAACAAACGAGTTGCTATTAAACATGTGGTTTTTTTTTTGGTTTTTTTTTTTTTATATAAGGTCGACGGGGATCTGAATGATCGGACTCGATATTTATTCAAATTGGCAAATTGAATGCAGAAATGTAATCTATTTGTGAGACCTTTCAATGAAATGAAGATGTTTTTACGATTTTATCTAGATCTGATTGTACATGTAACATCTTTTTTGACGAAAACAAAACTGTGCGCATCGATTCAAAATTTCAAACCTTTAAGATACCAGGAGGATTACTTGGTTAGTTAAGTAATACAAAAGAATGTACATCAAATTTACATATATATTGAAGAAAGGCTAGGTAACCAATACTTCTAATTATGTTTTTCAAAATAGCACGATATCAACTACACTTTGGCAAAGTATGAAAAAACTTATTATCGTTTCATTTTTAAACCCCCCAGTCGCCCCTTCTTCGCACATCCTTCAATCTATAATAATTGCAAAAATGTTAATTTTGTCTGTAAACACTTCTACGGACAACATTAAAGATTCTGATAATTCAATTACAGATAGTCAGTCCTTAGGGTTCTCCATACATAATAAACACATAAAATGTTGAACTTATTTATAGATTATATTCTTACAGTTTTGGCCAAGTGGTCTAAGTAGTTCTACTACTGTAATCACTAGCCAGTCAACACTGAGGTTGTGAGTTCGAACCCCGCTCGTGCGGGTGCACTCGACTCCAATCTTAATTGACTAGGATTGTCAGTTTTCCTATCGAAGGTCGGTGGTTTTCTCCGGGCACTCCGGCTTCCTCCAACTTCCTCCACCAATAAAAACTGGCCGCCACGAAATAGCCCAAAAGTGGCGCTTAAAAGTGGCGTTAAAACACCAACAATCAATCAATCAATCTTACAGTTTTATATGACTGTAAAAAACGGTTGATCGTTAAAAGAAGCTAATCAAGTATATATTTTTTTATTCAGGTGACGGAATGAGCTATTATAGGTTGCAATTCTGTAAATACTGACAATGCAATTTCCCATAGGAACTCCCTTTGCGGCTAAAAATGTGACACTTTTACTATGAAGTTTCGTGAAAAATAATATCCCAGAACGGAAAGTTTATATGCACTACTATTTTATTCAAAGGTCAAAATATAGGGCTGTGCGGCATATTTTCAACATTTATATGCCCTGAACTTCTAAGAGTTTAAACTTATACTAAAATTCTATACTACCCTTACCTCCATTTTTGGACCTTCTAAGAATTAAAATTTAGCCGCTACCATGATTTTCAATACTGGTTACATTCCCAAGTGATGTCTCTATGAGATGAAACACAGAGATCATCAATGGGAACCAGTACGTTAACAAATTAACATACCTATGAATATTAAATATCTCCCCAAAAGAGGCGTGGTTTGAGAAACAGCTGTATTTACAAAGTGCAACCTATACACACATTTATTCAAATAGAAAACTCTCTAAAAACACTTTTTCTCACAACAATACTTATTTATCAGAATTATAGCCTTAAAGAAATCACTGCATATACTCTAAGTTTCCTTTTATAGTAGATTTTATACCCCTACCCCTGTTTCAATTTTTTAAAGATTTTGAAAACAAGACTCTAATTATTGCCAGCTTACCCTATGTGCATGTTATCTCACATGAACTGTCCAAAACCTGTTTGAAACTATTCTGATAACAAATTGAAAGCATTTTAGAATACTATAAATGTATTGTTTAGTAGTTAAGCATTCCAACATTCAAGATTATACAAAGTATCCAATCCTGCCTGTGTTTCCAGTCCACATCTTACTGTATGCCTATTTGTCAATGAAAGTTCACAATTTCTGCATCAAATGGTCAGTTTAAAATTCTTGTCACAACAGTATCAGCCCTAACCATATATCTAACATAAGTTAGTTAATATATGAACTAGAAGTGTTTAAACAAAGCCATATTTGCAAAAGTTGTATTTATGAAGATATCAGTCTGGTGCATAAATTCACTAAAAGTTTGATTGAAATGACTGCTTACATCTGATTTTTGCATAACTTCCTAGCACAGTTATTGTTTACTTCACAAAAGACCTTTAAAATAAAAAAATCACAGCATTTACAAGTTAAATTATCTGTTTTATGACTCAGGGGTAGGCATTTTTCTCTGTTTTTTGCCCCTGGGGCCTCACATTTCCTAATTGTTTTCCCTGTTTCTAGCAATGTGGAATATTTACTACATATTTAGGATAGAACACACTATTGTTAGTTTTATTGAGGTCTTTTTGTAATTCTAGCTTGAACTTTTTTATGACGCAGTCACAAAAAAGCACATTTAGGCGTTACGGCTTACTTTTGGGTTATCGACAGGACAAAAACACCCCACCAAAAATATTTACGAAGGATCAATGAGTTGCAATTACTGTGAAGAGTAAATATAAGCACTTCTAAACAATTTAAATTACAAATAGGCATATATTATTAATTTATTTTGAATTCAGGGCTTTAAGTAAACCATGCACACTGTAAACTGTGAATTTATGCTGAGTCATCATAGTTAAGGCCCAGGATTTTCTCAATCTTCATGAAATATTTATAAAACTTCATATTTGAGTTAAATTCTTTAAAATCTCTGAGATAAACCAGATTTTGTGAAATTCTGTAGGTTCTATTTTTTAACCCTATATAGGTTGCAATTCTGTAAATACTGACAATGCAATTTCCCATAGGAACTCCCTTTGCGGCTTAAAATGTGACACTTTTACTATGAAGTTTCGTGAAAAATAATATCCCAGAACGGAAAGTTTATATGCACTACTATTTTATTCAAAGGTCAAAATATAGGGCTGTGCGGCATATTTTCAACATTTATATGCCCTGAACTTCTAAGAGTTTAAACTTATACTAACATTTTATACTACCCTTACCTCCATTTTTGGACCTTCTAAGAATTAAAATTTAGCCGCTACCATGATTTTCAATACTGGTTACATTCCCAAGTGATGTCTCTATGAGATGAAACACAGAGATCATCAATGGGAACCAGTACGTTAACAAATTAACGTACCTATGAATATTAAATATCTCCCCAAAAGAGGCGTGGTTTGAGAAACAGCTGTATTTACAAAGTGCAACCTATAATGGGATACAATTCTCAACCTATGATCAAGATAGCGACAAAAATGGTCTAAACTGTGCTGCTTACATACGATTTAAAGGTGGATGGTGGTTCAATAGCTGTTGGAAGTTAGAAACTGGCGCGATGCTGAATGGGCATTACACCCATAGACATAATACTAACCAGGGTATTATTTATCGCACGCTTGGAAAATTTTTCAGAAAAAATCAACTATGAAGATTCGGAAAGTGTAATTACAAGTATAGCTATCAATAAAACAGAATATTTTTTTTTCTATTAATCATTATTTTCATAATATTGGTAATACGTGTAATATTAGGTAGTTGGTAAAAATATAACAATTTATAAATTCCGTGCGGCCGAAAAAAGCTTTTCGGTGTTTACCTGCATCAGGATCGCTCAAACCCAAACATTTGAAAGTCAAGGATGTATAAATACATAGAAACGTTAGGAGCTATGTGACCACAAATGACATACAAAGAACAGCATAATAAATGAAAGGTCATCTTTGCCTGAAAGAGATACTTGGTTGAAAAACTGTAAATTTGCAACAAGACACATCACATATGACTGAACGCAATAGATACATCAGGTATTATTTTTAGAAAATTGTAAGTAAGTTTGGTAAGGAAAAATATTGGAATAGCGACCTTTGTGTCGGTTAGTTAATTGGATCGTGTTGTTTCCCATTTATATTGGATACCCACTATGTCCCTAATCTTGCTGTTTTGTTTCCTTATATTCGTGGAAACAGGTGTTCTACTGCTAATTCTAGTGAAGAATGAAACAAGGTTAGCATTATTTTTTAACTCAAATTTCAGCTATAAAATGGATGATTTTTCATTGAATAAATGAAAGTTTGGACTTTTATTAAGATAGCATATATGTCCTGTTGAAATAAAGGATGCCAAAGATAAAGTAAATCCGTTTTGAATTTTCCTTGGAGTTCGGTACTTTTTGTTATTTTACCTTTTAACTTCAAAAAAAGTTTTTTTTTCTAGAATAAGACATTGATGGTTAGATGAGATCTTAACATTACAAGAAATTTAATTTTAATTTTCCAATGGTGAACTTTCAATATATAGAGAAGCAACTAATATTTGTCATTTTTATTTTCGGCTAGTGTTGTCTGCTTATATTGGACTTTTGATTTTTGAATGTCCTCGTAGAATCTTCTTTCTCTGTTTTGTTTTGTTTTATGATAAAGCATTTATTTTATACAGGCTTAGAACTGCAAGATTTAGCCTAGCATTTCTAGCCTTGTTCGAGTCGATTACAACTAAAGATATGTTTTGATACAATGTGCGGTCATTCTTTTTATCATAACTCCTAAAATTTGCAAAATGAAATATTAACAGTTGAAAAATCAGACAACATAATCCTTTAATCTGCATTCTATACTAGAAAAAAGTAAAATAAAAAAAAAAAAAAAAACTACAAGGAAAATTCTAAACTGAAATTCTCTTGACAAATGGCAAAATCAAAAGCTCCATTACTTCAAACGAATGGAAAACAACTGTCATATTCCTGACTTGGTACAGGCATTTCCTAATGTAGAGAATGGTGGATTAAACCTGGATTTATAGCTAGCTAAATCACTCACTTGTATGACAGTCGCATAAAATTTCATTATATTGACAACAATGTGTGAACAAAACAAACAGAGATAAAAGGTAAAAATGTCAAACAAAGGGGAACAGCAGTCAACATTGTGTTATAATCTTAATCACTATAAAAACAAACAACTATGTCAACAAAGACAGAATATATGTTATTGACTCTTTTAAACCAACGTTATTGCGGTAAAAGCATTTTGAACACGAAATAGCAAAGTTGCAGTATTTATTTTTTAAGAATTGAATGCATCTTTTAGTAACTTATTTTGGGTGTGAAAGCGTTGACCAAAGCACATTTTGTACGAAGCGCGAAAGTACTTCTTACTTAAAACAACATATGCGCACAATGAATATAAAAAAGATGTGGTATGATTGCGAATGAGACAACTCTCCACAAGAGACCAAATGACACAGAAATTAACAACTATAGGTCACCATACGGCCTTCAACAATGAGCAAAGCCCATACCGCATAGTCTGCTATAAAAGGCCCCGAAATGACAAATGTAAAAAAAATTCAAACGAGAAAACTAACGACCTAATTTATGTACAAAATAATAAACGAAAATCGAATATGTTACACAGCAACAAATGACAACAACTGAATTACAGGCTCCTGACTTGGGACAGGCACATACGGAATGTGGCGGGGTTAAACTAGTTTGTCGGCGCCAAACCCTTCCCCTAACCTGAGACAGTGGTGTAACAGTACAACATAAGAACAAACTATTAAAATCAGTTGGAAAAGGCTTAACTCGTCAGATGGATACAAATAGAAATACATCTAACAAAAACACAGAGTGGACGTGGACGGGTACTTGTATATCCACACAATAGAAAGACACTACGTACAGATCTGAGAGTACTCGCAGTTACTGACAGCTAGTTCAAAGCCAATAACATTTAATGAAAAAAATCATGCATCTATGACTAAAATATCAATCAGTACACATGCAACATCCATTGGATTTAGTGTAAAGACGTCATAAACAGTCAGAGAAAAACACGACCTTGTGCAATGAAAAGATACAGGTATCATCGGCAGATTGTAGAGTCATGAATGCGCATGTGTATATAAAAATGATATTTAGTTTGATTTTTATTAACTGATAACAAAATCAATATTAATACCAATAAAAACAATATTCATAAATCTAATTAAGTGTTGAATTGGTAACCTTTTAGAATAAGTGTATTTAAAGGATAGATAAGTGTACCCGGATCGTTTCCAAATTTCTGGGCTCGGTAAA